GAGTAGCTGTCAAACTGAAGTGTCACAGGCATTGTCATATACATCAGCCTGGCACGTGGAGCAGGTGCATCCTCTCTGTACCAGCGTGACGGAGCGTGGGCATCCAAATCTGGGATGTCCAAACTCAGCCTGAAGGGGTCGAGAGCAGAGAATGAGCTTGTTTGATGTGAGTGATTTGAACCAAGCAGTGACCAGGTGCTCACCTCGATGCTTTTGGCAGTCAGGAGAGAGAAGGGGCAACACCTTAGTCCAAAGCCAACTGGAGATGCCAAACAAAAGCTTGCTTAGGCTCCAGTGGTGAATTGCTTCATGGGAACGTGCTGTTCAGATACTTTATTGAATTTTCAAGGAGCAGTTTTTCATTGGGGCTGAAATATGAGAGAGAACAGAGTGTTCCAAATCACTAAAAATGAACAGAGCAACAGTTTTACAGGTTTGTGAGTGGCAAAAAACGTTTATTTAATAATGAGGGAAAGGCCGGAACATAGCCCAGGGTATCAAAGAGGCATTAATCCAATTAACAAAATATAACATGGGCTTAAGAAGAAATACTAATTGTAGCTGTCTAGCAGGTTGTGTGAAACGGATTATTTTTCTTAAGTTTCAAGAAGCTTGCAATACTGATCCCTCAAGGGCCTGAGCTGTTAAATACACACTTCACCAGTGAGTAAAACAGGTTGTCAATTAATTTTGTCATGTCAGACCTGATTGCGGAGCCTTTGGGTCTCGCATGAAGTAGATGATTCTATAATAAATTTGTCCCTGTGCAGTACATTTCTAGCCATATAAGCAGAAAGACTGAGTCTGTTCTTGTTTTAAAGCAAGTTGTGAATACTTGTACAACTGAGGACTTGTTAACGTGTTGGTGAGAGCTAAACCAGGCTGACACTGCAGGAGATGAATGAGGTGAGATGGGCGAGTTTGGGTGGAACGTGGGAACCTCCCGGGGTTGTGGCACCTTCTTTAAGTAGCAGGTGAGGCCTCTGATGTGCTGGGGCTGTGTGGCTAATAATTGCTTTTTCTAATGTCAGCAGCTACTGCAGAAGCACTGGTGCTGAAGCAGACACAAAGTGGTGTTTTGTCATGGCTGGGACACCTGCACAGCTCTGGTCATTTCTCTTCTGAGATGTGCTGGCTCTGCAGAACTCTCTTGAGTGTTTTCCAGCCCATCTGAGAGCAGAAGGTGGAAGGACATGTTGTCCTCTTCTGGACATAACATCTCCCAATCCCTTCAGAATAAGTGGCTGGGGCTTGAGCTGAAGAATCAGGCCACTGATTGTGAAGGGAGGTGGAAAGCAAGGGACTAAACAAATCAAGAGGTAAAAAATTCAAATTTAACACCAGACCATGAAACAAACAGTTGAAGTAGAAGGTTAAAAGCTGTATGTGATGTGTTCATTACTCTTCAAATTCCAGTATTGTGCTTTTTCAGAATACATACAGAGCTGTAGGAAATTCCAGCTTTGTCTTTGTGCTGAGCGATTTTGATGTGGGGGGACCTCTGGAGTGTAGATTTGTTACTTCGCTCCATGTCCTGTTGGAAAACGAGTTTGGGATGGGTCATTAAGGAGTCAGATTAAACAAAATGCATCTGGGGTTAGTATGGATTCATAATCCTGCTAAAGGAAGCTCTGAAATGGGGAAGAATACACCAGTAATTTCATTTTGATCCCCTTCACTGAGGTGTGTGTAATGAATAGGAAGTGCAAGGGCATCATAGCAGGACTTCAAGTAAATCCCCTCTGCATGAGGATTAGGGGGCCGGTTAGCTCAGTGGTTTGAGCGCGCTGCTGGCAATAAGAATCAACACCGAGGCCACGGGTTCAATTCCCGCTCGGTCCCCATGTGTTGCCAGGTCTAGTCGAGAGGTGGCGTCCCTGCCCAAAACAGGGAGGTTGGACTAGATGATCTCTAAGGTCCCTTCCAGCCTAGGCCATTCTATGATTCTAATGTGACCACTTCTCAAGCTCGCTCCTTTAAAAAAAGTGGTTTCTTCAGTTCTTCTGACTTCATCTCAGAATAGCTTTTGGAGATGTTTATGGTTTATTTTACCCAAGCGTGTCACAGTAGTTTGTTAAATTTTTCTTAAACTTCTCCTGTCACTGGAGTTTGTTCCTGAGCTTGACCCGCAGGGAAAGGTGGCAGCATGTTAGGAAGTGGGGACACATATGCTCGCCCCTCTGTTACCAGAGTGCTGCCCCATCACTGTCTCTGCTGCCGTGATGCTGGAGGACGTGGGAGCCTGTATCCTTTCAGAGCCTTCAGGCGCAGCCACGTCGTACATCTCAGCACATGCTGTGCTTCTCCTAGCTTGCAGTTTCAGGTCTTTTTTTTTTCCCTGCCACCTTTTTCCCATCTCTTTTTCACACGTGCACAAAGTGGGTTTTATTTTTCATCTTGCCCTTTCTGTTTTCTCTCTCTCCGGATTTTCTTCATTTTTATCTTAGATTCATTCTATTCCCTTTCCCTGGAAGATGGGCTGCAGGGGAGGGAAGTTCAGTGTCACTGCTTTGAAACAAACCTATTGGGATCTGTAATGGCTGATGTGATCGTAGCAGAGAAATGTATGAGCGTATCCCTGACATCTCTAAATCAAAGAAAGTAGAAGCAATCTTTAGGAGGTCAGTGGAAAAATGGTATTTTTGCTGAAAGAAGCTAGTCAATATAGAGGCATCTTGGGGTTTTCTGTTCTGTAGAAAAGATTAAATGGGTGATCTTTGTCTTAGTAGTTAGATCACAAACTAATGTCTCCTGTTGATTTCTTCAACAGAAACCAAGCAAAACACAAACAAGATTGCTGAAGGTGGAGAAAAAGCTAGGTTTTTGAAGCACATCCAAACCACCAAGAATCATTCACTTTCCTTTCGAATGCAGCATTAGCAATAGAGCTCTAAATCAATGAAAGGTCTAAAATTAGATTATGTTCCTGAGATCAGATATGAATCACAAGTTAATCATATTTTCTTTTATTATCACTGTCTTTACCCTTTTATTTTATCTTGAGAAATTAGGTTTTTGACTGAACTGTGAAGGCATGAAACCCTGCTGGGTTAGACCACACCAGATCACCTGTGTATGGAGTCCCCAAAATCTTTTGGTTTCGAGGTTCATATTACGTCCAAAACTGATCTGGAGTGATTTATCAGTTAGTGCTGTGTGTCTCGCTCTCCCACAGCCCTCTGGTGTTTCAGTAGCTGTTTTCTTAAATTAATGAGAAAATCTTACTGCTACAGCTTGCTAAATAAGGTTTCAAACCCACACTGCAAGTGACAGAGTAGGACAGCAAACAATTATCTCTTGACTGTGACATGAAGCTCAGGGAATTGTATTCTCCATTGCTATATTATTAGCTGAAACTGATGAAAAGCACCCGTGTCTGAAAACAGGTATGAGGTGACCTGCAGGGTTGGTGTGTGAGGCCTGTAGGCACGTAGGTGACGTGTATCTGCTCCTGTGAAATGGCAGCTCTAGGGCCTGTGTTTCCTTGCAAGCTGCACTGACTTTAGTCCCAGGTTTATGTGCAGGACCGTGAGTGTATACTTGAGAGAACACGAGTGTGTATGTGAGAGGTGACGCTGGCCATTGTGCCAATGTGTTTGTGTTTGTAGGAGAGGTGTATCTCGGTGGATGTGCTTCTGGCTGGCTGTAGTTGAGGAGCGGTGCTGACCTGAACGTGTGGATGCAACAAACACTATGGACAATGCAGGTATAACGTGTAAATGGTTTGCTTATAGGATAAAGATTAACGTGAAACGAGCCAAAGGCATTGCAGGAGGGGAACCTGCAGAGACCCTCGCTTCGAGCGTGCATGCTCAGCAGGGAAGTCCTCAAAGCTGCCATTTTTTGACACACCTTGAGCTATTCTCCCTGCAACTGGTCATGTTCCGGCATCCGTGCACTTGAAGGAAAGGCTGGGTATGGCACCAGAGCAGTGACCACACGCACCAGCGGCGTAACCCCCTTGTGAATATCCAGAGCAGCGTATTGGTGCAGCACACTTTGGTGGCAAAGTACGTGAAGGTGGGCAGCACGTGATGGCTCTAGTCTTGTGTTTGTGATCAGAGGGAGACAGGTGTATGTAAAAAGGCTCCTCCACCTTTCCTCTGTGCAGCCACAGCACTTGCCAAGGCATAATTAGTGGGGTTCTCGTGTTTCAGGGCAGCTATTGAGCAGCTGCTGAAGTGCCGGCTCAGTTGGTAGCCTTGAAAACAAAACATCCCTTGTTTCTCATCACCACTGTGAAATAGTGGCTTCCTGAACCTTGGGTTTGGCCCTGCAGCTTTCAAGATAGACAAAATGTGAGATTTTTCTCAGTGATGTATTCTTCTAGGTCTGCTTAATATCCGTTATCAAATCAATGTGCCACTTTAATGAGATTTTGCTTTTTCCATCTCCTCTGTAGAGCTGATTACTTAGCAAATGTGGTTGATGTTTGGTTTTTTTTTTTCTTTTAAAGGAAACTACAAGGGAAGAAGTTGAATGTTTGCTTCAGCTGAAGAAAATATTTCCCAAGTTCTAGCACTAAAAGGAGAAAAAGAGAACTGGAGGACGTTGCTACTAGGTATGTACGTGAGAGGAAGCCATGACTAGCAGTGTGATTGTCAACAGGAAACAAAAAGTCCCAGCCGAGGTGACACTGCCATACAATACCCTTTCTGTGTCGTGTTGCCTGCTGGACTTTGTGGCCTGGAGACCAGTGACTCTCTACGTGAGAGATTCTCCTGTCCATTCTTCGGCTGGAGTTTGAATTGTTCTGCATCTGGTTAATCTACTTTGCTGGAGTGGGCAAGCCCTGTTTTTTTTTTCTTGACATCTGCTGCTGTAAAGATCTCAGACTGCTATGGGGAGAAGAGCGTGCGTTTGAGCAACCTTCACCGGCTGGGAGCTGAGTGCTCTGCAGACCCCAGGCAGCTTTGAAGTGTCTTTGCTGTTCAGTGCTCTGCAGATATGAACGCTGAGCTTTTCTGGCACGTTCTCACAGTGGCCTGGTCGCTCTCACCATGCTAGTACATGGGAAGGAAGACTTCCTCTCAGACGTAGCTTACATCGTCCTGGAACTGGTCATTGCAGTGCTGGCCATCCTGGGGAACATCCTGGTCTGCTGGGCAGTCTATTTGAACAGCAACTTGCAGAACGTCACCAACTATTTTGTGGTGTCCCTGGCTGCTGCTGACATTGCCGTGGGCGTGCTGGCAATCCCCTTTGCCATCACCATCAGCACTGGTTTCTGTGCCTTCTTTTATGGCTGCCTTTTCATTGCCTGCTTCGTCCTGGTCTTGACTCAGAGTTCGATCTTCAGCCTCCTTGCCATTGCCATCGACAGAATCATTGCGATCCGCATTCCCCTCAGGTAAGCGTGCGTTGGGCTGGGTGAGCGGAGCGGGGCTGCGTTGGTGAGGGGTGAACACCAGTCAAAACAGCAGATCTGGAGATGGAAGGAAGGGAAAGTTAAAAGAGGAGCAGAACTCATTTCCCTTGTGATTTGGATAAAAAAGCCACTTTTCTAGATCTTGGAGGCTGCCTCAGCTGCTGGATTTTCTGGTCGCTTCCTTTTCCACTTCTTCCCTGTCCTCACATGGTGTGTGCCTGTGGCATCGCAGCGGCCCTGCCTGGGAGCTGCCCATCCGTATTTAGGCAGGGTTGTGCAGGGGAACCTCACTGATCTGCGCTCTGGGCTGCAGCCAGCAGCACCAGAGGGGTCTCTGTGAGAAAGAGGAGAAAGAGGGCAGAAGGGGATGAGGTCAACTTGTCTCCTTCCCCAAGGGGAGACTGGGGGCTCTGCCTGCAGCTGTAAATTGAACGTGTGGATGGGGACTTCTCTTGGGACTTTACTTTGCCTGCAACCTGGGAGGCTGGTGTTGGACAAGAGGAAGTTTTGCCACATGTACTGGGGCTACTACTTACTTTAGAGTTTTCCAGAAGCGCATTGTTGTGATGGGTATATCTGACCGTGAGCACGAAGCAACATTGCATTTTGTGGGCCGGGTTTGAATGCTTCCAAGTCATTCAGTAAGCTCAAAAGATGTAGAGGAAGCCCCGGGAGAGGCTGTTGCAAGGAGAGTGTGGGAGTCTCCTTCCTTCCCATCTTGTCCTGAGGAGAATGCAGCTCTCAGGAGTGGAAAGACTTGTTCCCTATCCTGAACAAGTGTGGCCACTAAAATGGAATCAAATTCTGACTGCTGTGCTCTCAAATTTGACTTTTTGGACACCCTAACTCCTGTTGAGCTTAAATCACTTGTGCTGGCCTGTGTAATAAATTAATTACACAGGTTTTTTCTCTTGCGAATGCTTCAGTCATCCAGCGCTTGTGTCAATTAGCACGAACCTCCCATTCAAAAATAGAAAGCCTTTTTTTCCTCTAGAGCTGCGGAGATTACCTTTCCATGGGGACCAGTGCAGCATAGTCTTGCCTAAAGCCTTGCCTCAGCAGGCCCCTGCTGCTGTAACATTGCCGCTACCTGCTATAGTCGTACCTGTTACAGCCTCTACTTTTAATGGAGTTGTGAGGAACAACTATTCCACTTCATTGCAGAGAAAACTCTATTGATGCTAGTTACCTGTAACTTGGACTGTCTCCTCTTATACAGTTGTCCATATGGATGGCTTTTGGTTTAGTTTATAAATCAAAATAATGATGCAGAGAAACTTATGTAGGGTAGCCCTCGGGAGCTTGCCTCTGAAATGGTTTTGAGAAGGGCTAATGTCTTTAATTCATCTCTCGTGAGCTAATTGTGAAAACTTTTGCTGACATTTTAAGTGTTCTTATTGCTAGAGGATGACTTGCCAGGAAAAGGATTTTTTAAATCTGGATTTCTGCCATTTTTTGGGGTATCACTCTAACTATATTGTCTTGAAAATTTAATTTCCTGGAATAGCCAAGGTAAAGAGTCTTTCAGAAAAGTCAGACTTCGTCAGTGCTGGGCACAGTGCAGGTCTCAGTATTTTGTTTTTGAAAAAACAGAACACACCTTCTTCCAGAAACAGTGGAGTTGATTGGATGCAGAAGCCCACCAGTAGATCCGTGGGTTCCTCCCCATCCTTGTGCTCTGCTGGTTTGTCCTTTTACAGCAGAAGCAAAGAACTTGTCAGTTGTGTTTCCCTTTAAGAATTTATGGATGAATAAGCATTAGATTTACAGCCTCAGACATAATGAGAAAGTGAAAGCTGATTCGCTAAAGAGGGAGATGTGGTATGCTTCAGACTGCTCACAGCCTCGGTTTTTTCTGATGTCTGGTTGTCTCAAAAAAGTGTCAAACCAGTGGAAAGAAAGTTCTGCCACTGAAGGTGCGATGTTTTCACCCCATCCTTTCATGCTTGGGAAAGCCTCTTCTCTCCTCAGAGGACAAGAAAGGTAACACCAGGCATTCCTAATATGCATTAGATGGATACTCTTAAAAAACACAATAGATCAGACTTCCTTCACTCTAGCAAAACCAAAAAGGGCCAAACATATTCTTTGTTGTTGTTAACTGTTTCATGTCTGATTTGTAACAGCATGTCTCGATAAATACAAATGTGGGTGTGTATTCCAACACAAATAAACTGTCAGTATTAAGGAGGTGTAAGAGTGGGCTTTCTGATACTGCTCCATTACATGATTAGAGTTACTTTCGGAATGATTTTTCTGAGGGTGAAAGACCCTCCCCCAAAAAATTATGGTGAGGAGAGACATCTATAGGTAAAATTTGAAAATACATAAAAACTAATTTTTGAACATTTTATGAGTTCTACCTTTCACGTGATTAAAACATTGTGTAGAATTTGATAAACTTTCTGAAAGTTCTCAAACATTTTGCTGGATTGTGCCAGGTTTTATACAAGTGCAGCACTCTGCAAGCAGCTATAAAGCACTCCCAAGGAGGAGAGTCTGAGCCATTGTTCAGTCTAGGATAAAATCTGAGCTGTGTCTCTAGCATGGCAGGTACCTGGAATCCTGTGCTCACTGATACAAAACCCTTGAGTGTTCTAAACAAAACTGGCTGCAAGTCTGAGCTCAGGATGAAGTTGTGGGCCAAGAACAATTACTGCTTTCCAGGCTCTTTGGTGCCAGCGAACGCTCCATAGGCACTGAGCCCAGCCCCGTGTTCTCGTGCAGGCGTTTGTGGCAGAGATACTCACTCCCCTGGTGAAGGACAGGTAGCTCCAATGCATGGCGAAGAGAGGAGAAATTTTAATTCCTGCAGCCAAATGGAAAAGTCTTCTCCAGGTACTGCTTGCTCTATGTGCTGGATTCAGGTATTCACCTGTGGCATAAATACCTCTGAGGGTCATGCAGTGCCAGCTGCAGTAACGCAGTGAAGTGCAGACCTTTCCCTCTGGTGAAAGTTGTGCTGGAGGTGACTGCCTAAGGTTGCTGCAGTGCTTCTCTGGGAAACCATTACTGAGGGGCTGCTCCCTGACGTTTGAAACCTTGGGACAGGTTTATCCCATGTAGTGGTGATTGAAACTGCAGCTCTCAGGTGGTGCTGGGATGCCCTCTGCCAGGGACTAGGTGAGCTGAACATGAACTGGCTACTCAAAGTCTGGGTTAGGAAGAATAGGGGAGATGAACACAACCCCTGGATAAAGTATAGGGCATGGAAGGCACCTTTGTGCTGAGAACAGTCTGTTTCAGCAGTCATTTAATTCTCTAGAGTTGCCTTCTTGGGTGCTGATATGTGAGCATCAGAATCAGTGAATTGGGGTTTTAAGTTTTATTGTCACCTTGAGCCATATCTGGACTTCTTTCTCTCCCTGCTCACCATAAACAAGCATTTCCTACATGAGCTTATGTTTGTTTCAGATTATGGGCAGATTCAGCTTAATGTGAAAGAAGAATAACTTACTCCCTTCTTTGAACGAGCATGGGCATGGCTTTTAAAACAGTGCCACTTCTCTGTGGCTTCATGGGCCATCGTGGCATTTGCTGTTAGCAAAGTTCTGGTCTGGAAGCTAAAGCAGAACTGTGTCTGCCCACTGTTATTGCTTCTGCTGGGATCTCACCCTACCCTGTCTCCATAGCACAGACAGGCACTAGAAGCAGCACCTGGTGACAGGAGAGAAAGCTTCTGGTCTGAGTTTCGGGACAGGGTTGTTTAGGTAGTGCGGAGGACTGCGATTGGTTTCTTGCTCCACCACAAGATTTCCTGGATGATCTGGGATTGTCAGTGTCTCTTGTTTCCTGGTACATGTAATAGGAATAGAATATCCTCTTTTTGTCTTGATCACTTTGACTGTAGCTACCTGAGATGTGGACTCTTGAGTGTACATGTTCAGTGAACAGTGTTTTGCAGTGATTTCTTAAAACCCACTGAGATCAAAGCCCAGTGCCCTCACCTCTGAGCACCCTCTTTCTGGTGAGATGCAGTAAAGGTGGCTGGAATATGCTCCATGCGTGACAGAGCCGTCTGGCCAGGACGTGCAGTGCCGTCAGCCAGAGGTGGGTTTGGAAGACAGGCAGCAGGCTGGCTGGATGCTGTAACAGTGAGTTCGGCCGGCTACGTATCATACAGTGTATGGAAAGATTTTATCTTCTGCTGGAGGGCCCTGTGGTTCTTCCACCAGCTGTCTTCCACCTAGCTTCGTAGTTTATAAATCAGACTGGTGAGATTCTATGCTTTGTGCAGGAATCATTGTCTCAATGACACAGAGCTTAGGCCAAGGACCTGGAAGTGTCACATCCTCAGCCAGGTTATTCTAGGCAGCACAGGTGAGTTGTGCATTCACCAAGGGCAGCTGTTCTCTTGGAATCGGTTTGTCAGCCTAATGATTGGGAGAATAGCAGGGCAGGTGAAATTATTTTGGCAAAAACATCTACATTTTCATGTGTTTGCAAAAGTTGGTTTTGTTTTCTAGAGGAGTCAGGTGACACCGTCCCCCCACCCAACTCCACCATGAGTGTCCCTGTGCTCTGCACTCAGGTTCTTTGTGTCTGTAATTTCACGAGTAGAAGTCATTGTTTGTGTACTAAGTCCAGTATTTCCAGGAAGCAGGAGAACTGCTTGTGCACAGACAATCCAGTGCTGTCTGGACACATCAGACATGCTGCAAAGTCGGTTGCTGGCAGTGCAGACCACGGGCTGTAGATGTGACCGGCTGCTTTCAGCAGACCATCTCCTGCATAGGTGCCAGCGACTCACAGTGTACGTGATGCTTCCTGGAAGCCCTGAACTTACCACGTGGAGCTGTACAGCACTGAGGATGCAGAAAGTAGCTTTGGCCTGGCTGTTGTGAGCCTGGAAATATGCCTACACAGGTGCACAAACTCTTCAGTGCTGCCCTGGTGACATGTCTAAGTGGGCAAAAGGAAAAGTGCAGGAAAGTCCATCAAATCATGATTCTGTCTGGACAATAACCCTGTCTCTGCCAAGTCAGCCAGAGTTGCCTCATGTGGATCTCGGAAAGGAAGCTCTCCCAAGCGAATGAATGCTTCTCAGTGGGTACCTGGCCAACATCATGCCACACCTGAGATGCTGTGATCTTTCTCTCTTAACCTTGGAGATACTGAGCGAGGCATTAGGGAAGTGCACTCGCTGATAGGTTGATAGTCGCCCCTGCCAGCACAGTACTCTGCAGCTGGAAAGCAGGCGGCTGCTTGGGTCAAGTGCTGTTCCTAAGCCTTCTAAAGTTTGTTGCATGGGAATTCCCAGAGGGTAAGAGGGAGGGAGAAATGGGGGGTGCTTGGAGTAGTAATGAATATATTTTTAGTGGAAGGAAAAGGACATCTCTAGTCGTGGGATAACAGCTGCACAATTTCAAAATTCTTCTGACAAGATGTAGCCAGTTCCAGGGCTGCAGGGTTTTGAGGCTTTGTTTTTCCAAGCTTCAAGTGCCTTCAGCCAATCCTTTTCAAAGCGCGGATGCTGTTTTGCTGTGTTGATGAGGTCTGAATGTGAGCAGCTCCCTGCTACCATCCCTGCTGTGCCCTTAGCATCCTCTAAGCATTGAGTAGGATCCACTACTTACTGGAGAAAACTTTTTACCTCACAGAATTGCCTGAATCCCTCCCTCATTTCTAGGAAGATTTCAATGTGTTTTGGGTACTGGGAATTGTGTGATTGCCCCCTCACCCACTCCCTCTTTTCTGATCTTGAAACACAGCTAAGGAAGGGAGACTCTAGCCTGCTGGGTCTTCTGTGCAGCCAGGTTTTTTCCAAGGCCCATCAGCAGGGATTTAAAACATGTACAGAGTCTCCGTTCTGCACCGTGCCTGGCAAAAGCAACTTCTCTCCTCTCCTGTCTTGAACTTGCATTGGGTCAGGAGCGTGAACCTGTGGGAGTAACTATTTCATTGAGAGACGGAAAGATTTCTATGGCTTGTTGGATTATTTTTTTTTTTAATGTTTGTTTGCTGAGCAAATTCTGGGGACAGAGGGAGAAGCAGCATTGGGTAAACACTGGGAGCCCAGTGCTACCGTTGTCCGATCACAGATACATGAGGTCAAGTACAGTGTGGGACCCACGCTGGACTGTGTGGGAATCCGGCCATCTATTTTCCATGCTAAGCTTTACCAAGGGAAGGAAATCGTATTGAGATGTTAAACTGTTGCCCTCATTTACATTTTCAGACAGAAGAACTGGTGTAGCTGTCTCAGGACTCGCAGTAACCTGTGAGGCTTTGGGAACTGGCTGGTATTTCAAACAAACCAAGGTCCCTGGCTGCACTGTCAGATTCTTACCATGTTGCTTATTGTCTCTTTCAGCAGAACTTGGAGAATTTACTGCTAAGAGCCCTTGCTTCAGCCAGGCATATCAATACCTCCACCAGTGAAGTCCCCCTTGGTGTGTGTCCACAGCACACCTGTAGTCAGAGCACTGTCCTCAGCTTTAATTCCTCCTTTCTGGGAAAGACTAGGATCAGCTTAGCTGTGCCAGTGAGGAAAATTGCTGACTTGCCTCAGTTATTTAAGGAAGGTTGGTGGTGCTGGCCTTCCTGAAAGTGCTGCCGTGGAGCAGAGAGAGATGCTGTGTAAGGCAATGCCAGCCTGGCTTCTGCAGTTAAGTCAGCAGAATTTCCCTGGAACACACCTGAACATGGACATGGGGCCAGCAGAGCTGTCCCTCTGAGTTCTTTTGTGCTGTTCCATGCTACAAGGCTTCTCCTTTGCCAGAAAGGAGGAATTACCTCAGCCTTTGGCAGGAGAGCCATGGTGGTCTTCATCACCAAGGATCACAGCAGTGCTGTTGATTATCCTGGCTACAAGTTCTGTGTGCGTGACCGAGTGAGTTGGTGGAGTGAAGGAACAAAGATAAAGACTGTATTCATTTCCTTGCTTTTCTGTCACCTATCCACCACCTAAAGGAAAGGGGAGGGAAATAGGTGGTGTATGATATCACCATGGAGTCATTGCTTAGCTGTGGTGCTTGGGTTCGGGGCAGTTCAAAGGCTCATCTGAAGAAGCAGGTGCCTTTCTTGCTCTCTTCTGGGACTTCAAGCCATTGGGAAGTTGCTTGGGTGTCAGGGGCTTGCTTGATGATACTGATGTAATTCCCGTTTCCTCTGCTTTGTAGGTACAATGGCTTGGTGACTGGCTCTCGAGCTAAAGGTATCATTGCCATCTGCTGGGTATTATCTTTCATCATCGGCTTGACACCAATGCTGGGGTGGCACAATCGCTCCCAGATCGAAGAGCTGGGTTCCAATAAGTCCTCTCCCATCAACTGCAGCAACAGTATGGTGGCATGTCTCTTTGAGGCTGTGGTCACCATGGAGTACATGGTCTACTACAACTTCTTTGCCTGTGTGCTCTTGCCCCTCCTCCTCATGTTTGGTATCTACTTGAAAATCTTCATGGCAGCCCGGCGACAGCTCAAGCAGATGGAGAACAAGATGGTACATGGGGAACGTTCTCGCTCCACTTTGCAGAAGGAAGTCCATGCAGCTAAGTCTTTAGCCATCATTGTTGGGTTGTTTGCAGTCTGCTGGCTTCCACTACATATTATTAACTGCTTTACCCTTTTTTGCCCAAATTGTGCCCATGCTCCCCTCTGGCTGATGTACCTGGCTATTATCCTGTCTCATGCCAACTCGGTTGTAAATCCTCTAATTTATGCCTACCGAATCAGGGAGTTCCGATACACCTTCCGCAAAATCATCAGCCAGCATATCCTGGGCCGGAAGGAGCCATTCAAGGCAGGAACAGCCAGCTCCAGGACTTCCACTCATGGTGGGGACGCAGAGAACGCCAGCATACGAATCAGTGAGTACGCATTAGAGGTATACACCAATGGAGAGATCCACAGGGATCCCGAAAAGCAGGACTTAAACAAATGCAAAGCTGGCTTGGAGTGGCATCATAATGGAAATGCTCTGGACATGGAGACAAATGGGCATCTCCCACATTCCTGCAGAAATGGGATTCTCTCGGATGCATGCATGAACAGGGAGCTTCACAGTGAAGAGCTAATGGATGCCCAGGTGTCCTACTCAGATCTAGAAAGAGCAGCCTTCGCAGCAGCTGATGTTTCCTGATGAGACTTTCAAAGTCTTCCTGGTAGAATTATTTTTTTCCATCGGTGACCTCTGCCGTGACAGAAAGGGAGGTTGGGGGGGGCGGGGGGAAAGGTGTGTATTCAGATTGCCTTGGAGAAGGGGGTCCCTACCCAGGACTGTTGAGATGATCCTAAATACTAGACTGGAGAAAAGCCAAGAGACTATTGAAAGAGACGAAGGAAGGAGGGACACGTTACCTGTCACCAATCTGTCTCCAAGAGCAGTGCCAAGGTCAAGGATGGCATTCCAAGTTCAGCACCGGGAGACTCTGCTGACGCAGAGCATATCGTGACATTATGCTGTACCATGTATCTGTGGTGATATGTCGGTTTTGCTTTCTTTACCAACAGAAATAAAAGTATGGCTGGAAGTACTCACTGAATTGCAAAGAGCAGCAAGGAAGGGGCATTTTAGTACTTTGGCACTACAACAAACAGAAGGGGGATAGCAACATCTGTTGGTCAGGAAGGATGCTGGCAGCTGCCTGGAGAGAAGGAATTTACCTGATGGGAACTTTAAATACATTCAGCCATGGCATTTTGTCTTTTAGTTCATGTTTTTAAAGCTTAGACTGCGACAGGTTGCTCAAGTGGGTTTTTTTTCTTGTCTTGACAAGATTAGTTTATGTTAAGTTATAAAAGATGGGTAAGAACTGATATCCGTTCCCTGAGTGCTCCATGTTCCAGATACACAACCTCATAGCTCTCCACTTTGTCTAACAAATAATGAAAATGGAGTCTGTAATATGGATTTCCCTCAGGAAAAGGGCTGTTAGCAGGACTCCATCCTGCAGATAGTAGACAAGCAGGCCAAGTCGTGGTCTGGGTCACCAGGGCAGCCACGCTCTGAGGTCTTGTGAAGAGCTGTCGGGCGTGTGAGCTGTCTGTAGGCTGGTGGGCACTGTCTGCTTTTCCCCCACCTCTGTGCTTGTCCTCCTGAGCTCCTAGAGTGCAAATTCTTTGCATGGCCCCAAATCTGTGTGAGGGGAGCTTATTTTCTGTATTTTGATAATTTTCACCCTCAGTCGAAAGGCTGTGGGTTTTTTTTCTCCTTTCTCAGGGTAGGGAGGAACACACACACATACATAATGGTTATTTTCAGAATTCCGATGAGCTCTATTTAAACACCTTTTCTCCTGTGATTTCAGTTTTTTCCTGATGTGCTTTACTGTGAAGCCTGCTCTGGCCTTGTTGTGCAGAGGCCAACAGAGCTGGGTCTGTCTGATTAGAAGATGCTCCTATTCTGAGAGGCTGAAAGGCATCAGCTGTAGTGGAAATCAGCTTAGAAACTGTGGTAGTCTGTGTAAGAGAATAGTCAGCTCTGCTGCAACAAGTGTATGCGCTGATGCGGTTTGTTGTAGAGGTATTTCAGAGCAGTTTGATAATTTTCTGTATTACTCATGAATTCTGGTGGGTCAAGGACAGCAGAATGCCACATCAGCTTGAATTCTACCTAAAGATTGTCCAGTTTTTGTCTTCCAGATAAATAATCCATGTCCAATACCACCAGACTTCTGAAGATACAGGCAGTAATGGTCCTACTGGAAAACTAGAACTCTGTTAATTCCAGGGATCTGAAGCTTGTTGCCTAGCAGAAAACATCAGAAATGCCATCCCCAAAACCTGACTTCTCCTGGTGTCTGTCCGCTAACATTTCGGAAGCCAAATAATCTGATTTTCAGAAAGGAAAGAGAAACTGAATTTTGATATTTGAGGAAGAGCAGGTTAGGTTTGTGTGTTCTTATTCCATGTTTATTTTAAATATTGTGAACTATTAAAATGAAAAGTCAGTTTTAGTTGAGGAGGATTTTCTTTTTGCCAGTCTCCCTACGTGAAGGTGGGAGTAGTTTATAATGCTGAATGTGTTCAAGTGTGTAACTGCTCTGGGCTAGTGCAAAGCTTACTGTGAGGTGGATAAAAAGATGTGGTTGCAACCACAGTCCTTAGCAGAAAGACAGGGAAGTCTGTAGAACAATGGACTTCACAGTTTAATTGAATTGCTGCTTTCTTGGCACGGCTCTTCCACGTAGTCTAACGTCAGAGGAGTGGATTATCCCTCCAGCACCATTAACAAACACTAGGCCATTTCCCTGTGACTGACGTCGTAGGTAGTTCCTCTGTAAGGTGACTTGGGATCTTGTTACTTTTGATCTTTCTTGATGGAATATTTCTGTAGGTTAGTTGTGGGATGGCTCTGCTGACCTCCTGTAGCAGTGGCAGAGGAACTCAGTCAGGAAAGTGGAGGTCTGATCTCTTCAGGCTGCAGTTGGGAGCTGAAATGTTTCTAAGAATAACAGAAGATTGCATCCGGTATTCATGTCAATAACAATGAGGCCCACAAAGAGCAGAGCGGAGAAGGAAGTGTGGGAAAATACCAGCATTGCTCATGTGCTGGAACACACACGAGTGCAGAAGTGTCTCCTATTGAGCTTCGGTTGCCATTGTAACGGGATGTTTTATGCCATGTTGCATCAGACTTTCAACAGCTCATGTGCGTTGGTTGCTTTCTATTGTTTCCTGAGCTTCTTCGCACTCCATTATGGCAGCTTCTTGCTTGGTTGCCACAAGAATCAAGTTATCTATGTTGATGCAACAAACTGAGGATTTTCCCTTTGGAAAACTTTGCCGCCCAACCAGATCACCATGTGAGTTTACTGAGTTTCCAGATGTCTGGAAATAAGTTTTTCTGTTGCTGTTTGAGATACCTTCAAGTGTGTCCAGTCCCTTTCAGTATGAGTGATCCAGATTTGAAATGAAAAGGGTGTATGAAGGGGCCAGGGGATGTGTGCAGGAGGAAGTGCAGTGAGGGCACGGAGGCAGTGTGTGCTATATAGAACTGGAACTTTGTAGTCACAGGAAGGAAGGGATGGCGATTGCACCACATGCTGTGTGTCTTCTGGCAAACATATGTCTGAGATGGACCTTCAGAAGGTGTCTCCAAAGCAGCTGTTAGTGGGAGCATGAGCCTTTTGAACAGAATTTTGAATTTCTTATTTCTCATTTCCTAGAGGTAGTGATTTCAAGGTGTTTTATTCTTATAAGGAAAAAAAAAAAAAAGAGCTGTAGGGTCCCATCAATGAAGTGTGCTCTTTCCTTCTCCTGGCAGCGATCTCTGTTCTTGAGAAGAACACTTTTCTCCCAAACTGCATAGGACAGGGATCATTAGAAGAGTGAAAGTTAAATAATTTTTTCCTAACCTCACCACTCATATCCCCATTTTCATTCCAACTGGAGAGTGTTTAGCTGTTGACATATAGCTGTTCTGTTCAACAGAGATGGTACCAAGACAAAGGGAAGAACAAGGTGATCGTCAGGAGAGGCTGGAGAAGACCTCCTTGAGAATACAAGGTGCAGTGGGTCCAGAGAGTAAGAGCTGGGGTAAGAAGAGGCTAATCTCATTGAACTGAAACTTCTTACTAAAAATGACTGAAGGCCCATAGAGAGATGTGGTGCCTCGTTTGGCACGAGGGCGTTCCATGAATTTCACCATTCCCTGGAGACTCTTAGGCTCCAGGGCTTATTTGCTTTACAGGGTTCTGGAGAAAGTAAAGTTGATGAGTTGCCAGAAATAATTTTATCAAGAGTTCCTCTTGGGGCACTCTCCTCAATTAGGACGTTGCTTTTTGTATGTGCAAAGCATTGTCCTGGAGAGCTTCTTTTGTATCAATAATATTTCAGAGCTCTGTGCAAGCTTGAAATGCAGCTCTTGCACAGAGAAGCAATTTGGCGTGGTGGGACAGCTGGGGTTACTGTGGATGGACAGGGTTTGCCGCTGATCCCAGCGGGAAGCTGCGAAGCTTATTGTGCAGATGGACTTGGAAGTTACATGGAACAGTCTGAATCTTTGATCGTTCTTTGAAAGGAGGCTGCAGAGGATGCTAGTGGATATAGAAAGGTCTCTGAGGTGTGGGAGCAGACTGGGGAGTTAGGGTTAGATGGGAAGTCGTGGTGGTGAAGGCAGAGTTGCAGGGTAAGTCTGGGAGAATTTAAGGGGAGGAGGGATGTGCTGGGAGTTGCTGGGGGTTCCACAGACGGTGCTGGTATGAAACCAAGGTGTGTCTTGCTGAGAAGGGACTTTGGAAAGGATGTACGGTCTTACAGCTCTCCTGGGGTCACTGCAAAGGGTCAGCCTTGCCTGATGTGTGCTGAGAGTTCACTTCGTGTGGTCGATATGTGACTGAGGTAGAGGTGGTTCATGGACTATCTCCTTTTCAGATACATTGTCTCATTTCCCAAGTGTGTGCAGGTGTAAGAAAAGCCCTTCTGCTTCATGAACATGAGCCCTACCTAAAAACAAACCAATCCAGCCACGTTCTGTAGGAAGGACAAGTAGGTGTTAAAACTGTAGGATACTCTGCAGTGGTGTTCCAGCTTACCTGCTTAATAGTCAGTTCTCTCCCAGTTTGTTTTGGGCATCAAACTCGCTGAGCCATACCAGAGAGTTTTTTTCTTTCTAGCCCTGAGCTTTTGGCCTTCTTTACAGTAAAACACATCACGAGTAACCAAAATCACACCAGTTCTTCGTTCACATGAGAGGTGACTAGCCCTGACAGACTGAGAATCCCTAAACTAGGGCAATGGTGTGTGTAACTCCCCGTTTATTTTTCTGCTGGGGCTGTTCACACAAGGATGTGTTAAAATCAAGACTGGAACCTGTTGACCTGAGAACACTTTTTGCCTCTCCCACTCTGTCTCAGAAGCTGGTGTTCCTGCCCCGTCCTGTGGAGCGGTTGTCTCTGTGGTCTGCAAACCAAGACACTACGAACGCCCTGCTGCACATGCTGTCACTATAAAACAATTACTCTTTTAATTTAAATGTTTTATGAATATAGTTGTTGTTTTCCCTCTGTTTGTCAGTTACCAGTGGGAGGGGAGGGAAGGGGATGGGAGAATCTGCATGCAAATGTATTTAAAGTATGTTGACCAAAGGTTTTTTTGAATCTGTGAAGTTTTCTTATCTGTGAAGTCATCAGACTGCTG